CCCCCCCCCCCCCCCCCCCCCCCCCCCCCCCCCCCCCCCCCCCCCCCCCCCCCCCCCCCCCCCCCCCCCCCCCCCAGAAGGAACGGGGACACACAATGATTACATCCTTGGGGGTAGTTGTGGCTATGGAGGTCATGTCGGGAGGCATTTTGATTATCAAAGCTATGTCGATAGCAATCACTGAACGAGAAAGTAGAAGGGAACGGAGTGAGAATAAACTTGAATGCGATCGTATCCTCTGATACTGCCCCTTACTTCAGTACCGTGAGACATAGACTTTGATGTCGCAGCAGCGACAGCAAATGATCTGTAACATTTGTTCAACGTGACTATTATTTACATGGCATAGCTTCATTAAACAGGTGATCAGGTCGGACGTTCCGGGAGGATCACGGTTCATCGATTGCCCCGGTTCAACCAGAGCTAGACGAGACACAGCAAAGAATGAGGGCCAGGAATTCAGGGTTGGACATTGTGGCGACTGGCTGAACACCCATAGCCCTGGTTGGCGGCAGACAAATGTGAACTCTGAAAGGGAGACCATCCAGCCAGTTGTGAATGTCAGGCGGATTGCTTTCCTAGGCTAGTTCCACATAGACTCCAAATCGATAGGAACTCTCTCATGAGGGTTGGGCACTTCAAAGAATTTCAATCGATCTCCCAATACAACTAGCGCGCAGCTTTCGCATGATGCTGAACGCACCGTATCCACAATGAGTCGAAGTAATGCGGCAAACCTCTTCAATTTGTCCTGGTTGCGTTCCTCCCACACCCTGAGCTTTCCCGATTCTATACAATTCTCTTGAGTGATTCTTGTAAACAAGCCGGAATCGGTGTGTCTCCCAGCACAGAGAAAGGGTGTGTCACCAAGCCAAAGCTGTTCTAGAATCTGCCCGGTGTAGAACCTCGTTCTCCGGGATCCCGTTTTTATCTCAACAATTCGTGACGGATCGACAAACCTCCCCCATTGGAGGATTGGGTCACCCCTTGAAGTTCTTCCAGCCTTGGATGCAGGCGGTTGGTTGTAAAGCATTTTTTCAGAGGCAATGCAGCCATCGACCTCGTATCGGACAATGGTCCTGACATCCCCTAGCGTATAGCTAATGGCCCGATGGTGAGTTTCGCTATTCTTGAGGAAAAACGGTTGGCGGGTATACGCCTTTTCAAACTCATAGCCCCATTCATCGGAGTTGCGACGTACAACAAATGTCTTTGGGTTCACCTCACGGGATAACAATATTGTGTTTTTTACAACTCGTATCCCGACGCGGCAAGGCCTCTGCGGATTTGTGCCAGCCGTTGAGTTCATTAACTCGCGGAGATTGCGCCGATCGGAGATCACGTCGATCTCGTTCAATTTCATCGCCGGCTTCATGATCCGCAATGCCCGGAACAACGGCTCCAGAGGAAACCGAGGAAACCGAGCCCGTGCGGGGTCCGTCACGTATCTCCCTTTATCGGGTTTGACATCCGTGGTCATATTGTCGAGGTCCCAGATGGGCGGGAACCCTGCGCATGATGAGTCCTATGTCATTTGACTTGATACATGGGATTGATATCACGCACCAGGCACCACCATCGCTCCTTCTCCCCTGAGTTCCCTCAGTAGATTGTAGGACGTAAGGACTTCTACGCCGGCTTTCGCGACGTAGCCTCCCTCCGCCGAACGAATGGGGTCGAGGGAGATGTCTGCCAGTTCCTTGCCCAGAGCCGGCAAACGACGAGGTATTCGCATTGTGAGAGATTGCCGGGCGCATACAACGCGCAGAGGGAAAACAAGGAAAGACACGAACCGGCCATCACAAGATCCCCTAGGTAATCCCTGCTCGCCGGAGTCCCTTTTCGGGTTATCCGGACAGCCCTGAAAAGGCGGTAGGTATAGAAGATCTGGCAGAACCTTGCTCGTCTTGTCTAAGCGCCTCCGCCCGTATTCAACCGAGCATACTTAGTTCTTTCTTTCTTTCCATCTTCCCTTTTTATTTTTCATTTTCTTAGAAAAAAAAAAAAAAAAAAAGGTTTTGCGGTACGAAGTTCTACAGAAAAAATGTCCTCAATTACAACATAAGCAAAAACATATCTTCGCAGCAGAGGATTGATTGCCCACTGCGTACGATCTACCCACTCAAACTACAATCGGAAATGGAAACAGCCGCGGAAGTTTTCACCGAATAGAGAGATACGATAGAACAATTGAACTATGGGATGCTGCATCAAAAGCCTTAGAAAAACGCTCAAGAGCTTTGTCAGCTAATTCTGTGTACTCATTCGCTGATGGTGTCATGACTAAGACTCCTGATATGGAGATGCCACGATCTCGTGCATATTCGCGGATCAAGGGTAATCTACGGTGGGAAGAAGGTGTTTTGGTTGCTGCCTATGACGAGAACACTCTTGTGCTTGGGGTAAACAACGTTCGGGCTCGGAGTTTGCCAAGTACTAGCCTTTCATTAGAGTAGATAGCGACGCTCTCTGCATTATAAATTCTAATTACTATGTTTTAGACTCTATAATACTAGTCAACTCAGCTTGGTGGCATCTAGTAACCGCTATACTAGGGTAGTGATTGGATTACATTGATTGAGAAGTTTTTGACTTTGTGAGGCCTTATGCTTTTCGTTATATATATTACCAGTATAACAGAATAGATAACTACTATCTCCTATGACTTTGAGGTTCAGTTGGGCTATATTGCATCTCGTGCTATATCACCTGTAAAGCAGGTGCCGTGCATAGTAGAGTTTTGGATATTCCCCGCCCACATAGAAACACCATCCGTGGAAGATGGATACCGAAATCATGCCCAGAGAATCCCACAGAGCATCTCGGGTGGTTCGAAGAGGAAGAAGAAGAGGAGGAGTGCTGAGGCTGCTGCTTTCCGGGGCAAGCGGGTAAGTGTAGAATAAAGTATATAGAATAGCCATTAGAATTAGAGTGCCGAAGGTAGGACTACTGAATGCCTGTGTTAGTGCTTGACGTACCTGTTATTTCAGGCATCTAAAAGATAGTTGGAACGAGCTGTGCTGAGTCCACCCAAGGCACTGTTACATGACCTAGCAACTACAAGACTCAAAAGCAAAAATGGCAAGGGTCGGTTCATAAACGGGCAGGCCAGAGCCCCTCCCGACGGAAAGTGAGCCGGGTGCAGTTAAGCATACTGGTGTAACAATGTATGGGTCATCATACTTGCTACGGAGGTAATGGTCAGATACAAGCCTCATGTCTCCATTGTTTGATTATTCTCTCAAGTAAATGCTAACCTAAAACCTTGATGCTGGCTTCATATCCAGTAGCTCGGTCATTGGGCCATTCTATGCCTCGCTTGACAGGTGGACCGCTTCGTATCTCTTCAATGCGCGAACGACGAAGGCAAAAAGCAGTCAGCGGAATGTCATGTCCCCAGTGCGCCCAGTTTCATCAAAGTAAATTCCACGCACCGGAACTTGTGCTTGTCGTATAAAGCTGAAAATGAACATCGCATTCCAATTGAATACTGCCACACAGGGACAACTTTTCGAATACTTTCGGGCTTGCTTGGAAAGCCAAACGCCGTTTTCCCGAAGAAAGGTCGATTGTTTCAAGCTCACTGCACGGTACATTTTCGACTGAAAGTCTTTCTCGTCTGATGCTGCGGCGGACTTGAAGTCATCTTTGTGTATAACGTTGGTATTTTTGACCTCTAGAATAGCAAGCCGACAAAGACGAGTGCCATTGGCGCCGCGAAGGGACCACTCCACATCAAAGCGGCTCGTATTGCCGATGGATGATTCTGTGCGGCAAAAGATGTGAGTTTTCGGTGGACGTATCTGATCCAGGGCGATATTGACGGGATGGAGCAGCTGTAGCGTGGTAAGCCGCAAAACATCGGCTTCGGATTCCAGTAGATGGGTCCCTTCCAGAACTGGCATTCTGGCGCTTAGCGGACTCGCATGACCAATCCTTGGGAAATGCCGCTCAAATAAGCTGTGATAACCTTGGATTTCTTCTTGTAAATAAACCGGAACTGCCTCTGTATCAATGGTAGAGGTGGTAGTGCTCCGAAATTTTCGGTAAGGTTCGTTGGAGGCATATGGTACATTGGTGGGCAGTTTTTTCACTGAATGCCGCGACGATTGACGGCGGGGATGAATTCATAGTAATGGTTAAGGAAGATAAGATGGAAAAGTTCAAGTAAAACAGGAGGTCAAAAGAAAATGCTGTAGAGATGGATCCATCCTCCCTGTGGACTGGTCCTGTGGGGGAATCTAAATACCCAAGATCTCCTGCTGTCGCTCTCATACCCCGCTTGAATGTGTTACTTATTATTAGCACATATGCCATCGTCAACTCATGATGACGGTTAAATTGTCCTGGCGATTGCCGAATATATTTAGGGTCGTGTTAGACTGACACCCCCATTTCCTATTCGGTTTAGCGTGGCCATGTGATATGGAAATTTGGCATTTAGTATAATCGTTTAAACAGGACATTTATCATTCTTTTAATCGTACAAAAAACGCTGCATTCATTAAGCAATCATAGGCCTCCATTCAGAATT